AAATAATTTTGTTAATTTATTTTTTCTACTTTTTCTGCTTTTTCTACTTTATTTACTTTTAATTCTACAGTGTCTATTGAATCAAAAGTAGCTATTAAAAAATTTGAGTCATAACTCTTCAGTACTGTATTTACTGTTAGGCCTCTACAAAATCCTAGAGTACATAGTCAGAGTCTAAGAGTTCTGAGGTGACTTCCAGATTTGTAGAAAAGGCTTCTTACTACAAATCCTACTCATTACTCATTATTACTCTAATAACCTAATAGATGTGCTATTACTTCTACAGACAGTCCTTAATTTGGTGCCCTAACTTTCTGTAGGTAAAGTATGCTCCTTACTTTTAGGCTTCTCTAATGTCTATTAGAACAGATTGATTGTGAATTATAAGTAGATTGATCTGAGGGCTCAGAACTGTTAGAGCTGGACACATGTACAAATGTTCTGTACAGACTTAATGTATCTAGGCTACAGCTTAGTCAAAGGAAATAGTGTACATTTTCTACTTAGTGTAAGTGACCAGTTCTAGTGTCATTCTAAGGATCTTATTAACTAGTTCTGGGTGAAGAGCTTTTTTAAGTATTCTAATAAGAACATTATCAAACCTGAGCACAAATCCTACCTTCTGGGCTAGAATATTGAACTCCTGAAAGAAGGTATTAGTAGAATGTTTACTCTGTCACAGAGATACAAGCTTGTTCTGTGTATTGTGCTTCTTATTCAGATTAATAAAGGAAGTACAGAGCTGCTTTATAAATTCTGAATATGACTCATTGTTCTAAAGTCAGATCAGGCTTCCAATCTGATGGCCTTTGATCTAGTTCTAGGCCCAGGTGGCTACATTACCTTCCTTCATGAAGGAGAGGACAAATAGGACACAATTAAGATCTGAGGATAGATCAGTCAAAGTAGCAGCCACATATAGTTCAACTTAGTGTTAGAAGTCCTTAAAGTGCTACCTATTAAAGTCTAAAGGGTAAGCTATATACACTTTCTTTCTAGAACAGGTTGCAACTTCTGGAACAATTAGAACAGGTTCTGAAGGGGCTGAGAGTATGTAGTTGATAAAAGCCTCTTAGATAGAGGTCTGTATGTATTAAGCTAGTTCTACTTGTAACTACTGATCTGGCAGGATAGTAGGGGTAGTAGTTAGTGTAGGAGGGTCTATGTTTACACTATAAAGGAATCAGCACTAAACTAAAAGGGGTAATGAATAGAAGAAGGGTGGCAAAAGTTTAAAAGGGTTTAGAAAGTTTAAAATTTAAAAATGTAAAAGGGTCAGAACAAAGAAAAGAGATTGATGTAACAGTAAGTACTGATGCTCAAAATGTAAGAGAGTTGTAGGGTAGTAATGAGTAGTCTTGATCTGATGTCAGCAACAGTGTAGAGGGGACCTGAAGGCTTAGTAAGGGGACTCAGGCTACAACTATTCTATACAACAGAAATACAGAACACAAGTACTAGAACATAGTCAGAACTTGTAGAACAGGTGGAGAGAGAGAGTGAGACAAGAGTAGAGTATATAGAGTAAGCCTAAGAGTACAGGACTACCTAGAGTAGACAAGATCAAGACTACAGAACCAGTCTGATCTTGTATACCTATATATACTAAACTACACAAGAGTACTCAGGGAGTATGAGCCACTTAAGAATGATAAGCCACAAAGAATGAAAGAAAGGAATGTCAAAGATAAAGGTACAAAGAATAAAGGGATGAACAAAGGGTAAGAGACTATAGAATGAACAAAGAATGAAGGGGTGGTCAAAGGAATGGAATGATAAAGTAGGGACTGGTACAAATGGGTCTATCTGCAAAACTATACTACAGATAAGCATTTCCACAGATAACTTATCTACAGATGAAATTCCTACAGATACTGTAGTTTCTGTGTATCTACAAAAAAACAGCCAGAAATTTGTAGGACTAACTTAGACAAGTAGAAATCAACTGTTGTTTCTTATACAATCACTTGTGATACATTACAACTGTGACTAATGTCACACTTAGGTAATTAAAACAATGTGAATTTTTTTATCAGCTAGGCTAAGCACTCAAGTGACTCAACTACAGATACTGTGGTAACTGTGGGAAAATTCATCCACAGATAAGCTATCTATGGATGGGTGGTGCAGATAATAGTGGCAGATGCTGTGCCAGTCCCTATGATGAAGTAAGGAAGGGTAGTAGCAAGAGTCAGTATACATATAGTCTATAGACAGTACCCCTGAGGGACAGAAGTCCTGAGTTCTAGTACAGAAGGGTGTGGAACCCTTAGAACTGAAGGTACAAGAGTAGAGAACTGTAACAACATACTGTGTAGTAATCACAGAAAATTGCAAAGTAGATAGTTGCTTCTTTACATATAGCTATATGAGACATCTGATTACATTTGAGTATTCTTACTAGAGGATTATATATAAAACCCATAAACCCATTTTCAGACTGGGAAACTGAATTCATTCTATTGGTTTGACAATAAGTTGGCACATAATAAGATGTTTATAACTGGAGACTGTTTATATTACACTTCATTGACTTAGTAGTGTTGTATGTATTAAGATGGTCAGATGCACTTGAGACAGAAGGTAGAGCTTCTAAGTACTTTCTGTACCTGTAAATTGATACAGTATGCATGTCTCTTCTGTGTGTTAAGTTATTCACAAGTATTGGTGTATTATTATAATGTATTCTACCTGCAAGTAATCTATCATTGAATCAATACTAAAATATATACCTTCCATCCTATTGTACACGTCTAAACAATGGCTGTAACTGTCAACACAGCATTAAAATAAAGATATCAAGGCATTCTACATTGCCTATAAGCAAAGAATTACTGCTAATTAAGGGGAAGAATGAAATAATAATTACTTATATTTGTACATGAGGTGAATGAAGCCTACACTCTACCATTCAATATGTTTTTCGCCTTTCTTCTATGTGTAATGATGGACATGTATAAAATTAACTGTAGGATCAAAGTCCGACACTGGGAAGTATGATATCAGAGCATTTATCCGTCAAAATCATCACACAGAATATGGGCTGTACATTGATCTTCTCATCAGTGTGTTGATAAGTTAACACAGTATCATCAGTATCAAAGTTCTGCTCGAGAACTGCAACCAAGTTCTACACCAATTTACATCAATCACTCCTCCGAGTTAAGATAACAAGCAAGAATATTTTCTGTCTTCGCTCAATTGAGTGTGAGAGTAGATCCGCAGTCAAGGCACACCAAGCCGAGCTAACTCGTGTACTGAGCATATCAAGCATATCAAGACATCAAACTCGAGTGACGGCATCAACGCGAAACGCTTATCATCGACACGTAGGTTTATATAAAATTTATGTTTTTGATGCACGCCCACACAAAGCGCAGGCAAAGATAACGGAATGCCGAAAGGAGTAAATCCGACATTTGCCCCTGATCGGCCGAGGGTGCGCTTGGAAAACCAAATGACCCGAAGAAGGAATCGAGCAGCCAGATCTCAGGAATCAGGGGGGCACACATGTTCAGGAGGTCTTGTGAGATGTGAAGTTGTTTCTGTGGCGTTCCGAATCCGCACGTCTACACCTGAAATATACCCTGCTGAGCCTGCTTGAAATAATTCACAACCAAAAATAGGTGCAGAGGGAAGTGAAGATATTTATTTATAGAATACAATCGGTCAGACAAGATTGTTTATCGGTGAAATGCCTGGCTTCCCTAGTTGATACTAGTAGCGTCGATGATGGGAGATGATATACAGTCCAGGTGGTGAGATGGCCGAGCGATGATTGGATGCGACGTGTGATGTGAGGCACGGGATGGTTGATCGCAGAACGGACCAAACCATCCAAAGCAACAAACCCGAAAGTTATACAAAACTTAAAGGCATCGTTCATTGGAAAGAATTGAGTGCATCATTTCTCGACTCGTTCTCTGCATCTCTCAGTCGCTCGCTCTCAGAAAGCCTCTCAGCATGGCAGCAGCTTCTAGCTCATACCATAGTAATCATACTCACACCACCAACAGAGAAGAGGCGCATACGGGTATTAGAACGATCAGCAGGATGCGATCTTCCGCAGCAAGCATGACCTCAACGACTCGGAGTATCGGGGGGTTCAGCATAGCTACGATAAACACCAGCAGTTCTCGAGCGAGGAGTGCGATTAGTGCGATGGCGACTCGATTGGCTAGAGCGCTGAGCCGGGACGGAGCTTCGATATCGATGTCGTCTTCGTCCGGAGCTTCAGGATCTTGTGGGTCTGCGACGGACGTGTCGGTACGGACTACACAGAGCCACCAACAGAGAAAACGGTACGGTGAGTGGCAACTTTCTCTCGTGCGTGCAAATTGTTGGAGCACAGCCCCTGTTCAGGGACGGAGCGGAGAGGGTATAGATAAGCGCGTCGTGCGTGCGGCGATAAGCATACACCCAGAGCCTCTCCACATACACTCCGTCAACGTCGACACCAAGTCTAATTCTTATTTCATTTCTTATCTTTGGGCGTCGTGTCTCCTTATCTCTCTCTCTATTGTTTCTGTGCTTCTCCCGCTCACGCCCGGTTCTTGTGCAGTACATATAACACCACTCGCTGACAATGGATGACTTTGAAGTTCGTACTGATACGGATCATCCCCGTTCTCCTTCCCGTGGCAGGAATAATGTCCGTCTTTCCTCTCTCCTTTCTCTTCGTCCTCGTCTAACTTGCTTTCTTCTGTACACTCTCTTGTGATAGTACTCTACTGGACGCGGTGGCGCAGGCAACATCCGTTCTCGTTCTCGGTCCGTAGACCAAGACAACGCCTCTCACTATTCTGGCTTTTCGGGACAGAGTCAAGATCCGGGCAGCCCGCCCTCGTCCCCACCTCCGCGCGGACGTGAGCCGATACCGTACACGAAGGATCCTGTCTCTCATGTCGGGAGAGGTGGCGCCGGCAATTACTTGCCTACTGTCGTGCAGAGTGAGTTAACGTTTCGTTTTCGTTCGTCTGACTATATGCGCCCTCCTTGAGGCTTTCACACTTTGGTTTTATTTGTGGTATGCTTTTGTTGTGTTTTTGGTTTCTGTATTTCCATTCTGTGTTCTGTGCTGGGAGGGTGCAGCGGGACGACTGTTGAGGTGCGTCAACGACCTACGTCAAGGGACCCTTCGGACTCATCGGCCGACGACTGTTCCAGCCTCTCTCTACTTTGCACCTGTTGTCGGATCATGTGTGTCGTCTCTCGGCTTGGCTCTCCGTATGGTCTGCGTCAGGCGCACGTTCGATTGCGACATGTGGCATATGGATCATCCATCACCCTGGATGGATTCAGAGAGTCAAACGTGTCTACTCGGCCGACTGGTTGCTGGGTGCATGGATGCTTCGGACGAATACACGAGGGTCTGAATCACACACGTCTTGTCACTCTCGATTTATCGAGGTCCGCCGAAATGATTCAATGCCAATGAATCAATTGTGCCATTTTCGCCATTCATTGTGATATTCGGATTTATAGCTTGGTTACTTGGGCTATAAAGCCCCTTTTCCTCTTCGTCTGCATACCAGATGTTGTGTCCGCCTGAAGCGAGCCACTCGAATACTGATGAAGTTATACGTTATGTCTCCAGGTATTGACCCTGTTCAATCCGCGCGCGACAGAAAAGTGCTAGAAAAACATGAAGGGAGTCCGAAGTTCTATGTACGTCATTTCCAGCCATTTCTCCTTAATCTTCTTGCTGATGACCTCCTATTCATTATGCATTGAGTAGTCCACTGGCCGAGGGGGCGCAGGAAACATAAGGACGCCAGAACACTCGAAGTCGCGTTCGCGCTCTCGTGGCGCTGAAGCACGCATTGCTGAGATTGTAGCGGGAGCGGAGAGGTCTGTTTCGCGTGGCCGTGGTGCGTTTTCCCTCTCTTCTCCTTCTCCTTTTTTCTCCCTCTGCTTTTGTTATAATCACTTTGCTAACTGCATTGACATCTCGTCTTATTAGCTAAACATTCAACTGGCCGAGGAGGCGCAGGTAACATCACAGGCGAAACTCTCCACGAAGAAGGTCCCGAACTAGACGCATACGAACGACGCGCATACTCTCCAACCTACATCAGCAGCAGCAATCCAATTCACTCTACAGGCAGGGGTGGGCTCGCGAACGTCACAGCGCTCGCGTCCCCACCTATCGAGTACGCGGATGGAGGTGTGTGGGACGGCACACAGGGGAATATGATGGTTAGTACGGGAAGAGGAGGGGTGGGGAATATCAGGGAGAGGACGAGGAGTGCGAGTAGGGGTGGAGGGCCGAGGAGCGTTGAGAGGACAACCTCTAGAGGAGGTGTGGAGGGGGAACACTCACAGCAGGGTGTGATTGGGAAGATTATGGATCGTGTGAAGGGACGAGGGGGAGGACATCCTCAACCGGGAGGAGGGGGAGGGAAGGGAGAGGAATTGTTGGATGATGTGGAGAGTTTGGCGAGGAGTGCGAAGTGAGTGAGGTGACATTGCGTGATTGTTCGTTGTTAGTGCTCGGATGTCGTGCATGTGCGTTTTGTGTGAGTATCATGGGTGTATGCTGTCTGTCTATTTTCGTGTATTGTATTTGTATGATTGATGGTTTTATTCTTGGTCAGGATGTACACTCCTGCACGCCACGACCGTGAATACGATCACTGGCATGACGTGCGCTCCTCTTCGTTAGTCGTCATCATCCGTGCCATCTCATTCGTTCGTCGGACGACGCAATACTTTGCGTGTGTACCAAGTGCAATGTGTAAATGTGTACAATTTTATAATTCCCATCACCATCATCGCCACCATTGCCATCATTATCATCTGTGTTCCCCACCATTCCCTTCTTTTCCTTTCCTCTTGCCTATCTTATTCATGATTCCTTTCCCCCCCTTCCAATCGTGTACGATCATCATATTATCTGGACACGAAATAAAGTACTCTATGTAGTTCACGAGTTTTCCCTTTCCTTCCCTCTCCTGTTTCATATTAGTTCGTTAGTTGTACTCGTCATGTCTATACGATTTCATCTCTTATTTCATAGGCCTCTTTCTGTCTTTGTGTGTTTGTCCTACCATAACTAAGTGTGTCTGCTCCATTATTCACTAGAGCTGAAGGACAAATGATTTCTACTCAATTTGAAAGATAGTTATTACTATTTGCTGTACACGACAAACTCAATAAGAACTGCATTGAAGGATGCAGGCAGGTAAGCAAGTGAGCGACTGTAAGTTCTATTTATTCAACTATTACATGAGTGTAACAAAACTCTCAAGTTTAAGTACTAGTTGATGAGCTACACTCTCTCGCTCTTTCTACTTCTTCCCGTCCTTCGAAGTCGAAGCCCTCTTTTCTTGCTTTCGAAGACAGTTTTCTGCACTCTCTACAAGGTACTGCAAATCATCGTTTCCCCTTCCACCTCTCAGGTTTCCATCTCTTAACAATTTATTTAGCCCAACTAGCCTGTTTTTCTGACTTGCACAAGGTTCATTACTGGAAACCTCTGAGGTTATTTGGGTTAATGGGTTAACTTTTTCTTCATGAGTCTCGCTGGTGGGCGGTTGTTGACCCTCCTTCTTGCTTTCAGGAGCTGAACTACTTGACATGATTGTATGCTGAGAACTAGTACTAGTTGTATAAGGGGCAGTTGACAGTCTGTTACCATGGCCTTTTATACACTACTGTAGCATGCAAAGGTTAGATAATGTAATCAGACTAGTCTCACAAGTGCAAAGTTGCATCAGCTATACGTGATGTAGAAACAAAAGCAATGCAAATACACTAATACTCATAACCCCATTGTGTAATATTAGCAAAGCTAGCACCAGATTACATCTGCGATCGGTAGTTGTTATGGGAATAGTAGTATTTGCGTTATGCACAAAGTCTGTACACTGAAGATTAACATGACAGAATTGTAACTAATAAAACTTCCACATTCAAATATACTAGCACTGTCTACATAACACACACACACTCTCTCTCTCTCCTAAGACTGGTCCTTAGAAGATGATGCCCTCTTAGCTTGTTTTTCCATACATTTTTCTACACTCCCGAAAACATGTTTAAAATCGTCACTACCTTGATCATTACCTGCTCTATTCCAGTTGGCTAGCCTTTCTTTTTGCCAACCACAAGGGTCACCTGGTACAGGGTATTTGGTTGAGTTATACAAAGTGTCAAGTTCATCATTGAGAGTCCTACTGGACTTGCTAGAGGATTGTTGATCCTCTGCCTTCTTTTCAGAACCTGAACCACTTGACATGATTGTATGTAGAGAACTACTGATAGTATAAGAGACAGTTAAAGAACTATTGTCAAGATCTTTTATACATCTCTGTAATAACTCTATTACATAATATAAGCAATGCTAATACCATGTGAATGTCTGCAATTCATGGTTGTTATAGGGACAGTTGGACTTGAATTGTATGTGTGTGCAAAGTCTGGAAACTGAAGATTATAATGATAGGATTATTGCTAGAGAAAGGCAAATTTTAATGTAGTGTAACTAGGATACTATAATGAAATTGCTTATTGTAAGTACTCTGAATGAATACTGTCTATCTGTACACTCTTTTCTTATACATTTATATAACTGACAACTTTATTCCTTGTTAGAATGAAAATACTATGACTACATTTATAAAACACTCTAACAACTCTGTCTCTCTGTCTCTCTGTCTCTCTGTCTGAAAGAATGTAGGGGAGACATAACACTTAAATTTTAAGAATGCTACTCTACTCTTTATATATGCATTGACCCTAAGTCCCTAAGGGTCAAACACTCCCCTACAAGCCTGAACAATCTAACTAACCTGTGTGCTAAGACTAATAAGATTGATGAGGTGCTTGATCTGTGTAGTGTATAAGGCTTTTGTAAGGATATCTGCTGCCTGATTCTCTGATTGAACATAGTATACATTGATGTAGTTGTTCTGAATATAACATTACACAAAGTCCTTACATAGATCAAGATGTTTTGTTTGTACATTGAAGGCAGATTCTTCGGATTTAACAGTTTTGATTGTGCCCTGATTGTTGTAATAGATTGTCAGTAGTGCCAATTCTGTCTGTAGTACTTTCTTAGTGAGTCATTTAAGCCAGATGGCTTCTTGAGTTGTGTATGCCAGCACTTGCAACTCTACTTTATAAGTCAATAATAGTACCAAGTTCTGTTGTTTACTAGTCTACAATATAGTGCTTCTCCTGAATTGGAAGACATATCTGTTGATCAATTGGTGACCTTTAGTCATTTGGCTGTTAGTATTACAGTATCCTTGTAATGTAGGCAGCTTTGTTCTGCCAAGATACAACCAGTAGTTTGTTGTTCTGTGTAGATATTGGAAGTAATGCTTTACTGTATTGTAATACTACATACTAGGTTTTTGTAGATAGTGTACTAATTGACCAGTAGTATACAAAATGTCTGGCCTTGTACAATCAGTAATATATTTTAACAATCCTACCATATTTATGTAAGGAATTGTCTGTATGAATTGTTTATTGTTGTCATTGTTGTTTGTATTGTTTGTACTTGTTAAGTACATCTCAGGTACTATAGGTGTCCTTAATGGTCTTTCATTTTCAAATTTAAATTGTTGTATTATGTTTTCAGTATAGTGTTTTTACTGTAAGCTAATAATTTGTTGTAGTCTATCTTAGTGTATTTCAATACCAAGTAGCTAATGAATTTTGTTACTGTCTATAAATGTTACATATTGTTACAAAGCTTGTTTGAATGTATGTACTATAGTAATATTTTTACCAATTATGATAATATTGTTAATGTGTATAAATGTTGCTAGGACTGTTGTGTTATACTGTTTCTTATAGAATACAGTGTTATTGTAGTTTGCTTGTTGTATACCAATCTTTAGTAGAATTTCAGTAATCTTCTTGTACCAACATTGTCCTACTTGTTTCAAGCTGTAAAGTACTTTATTTAATTTTAATACCTGTCCTGGCTTGATATTGTTAAGTACTTTGCCTGAGGGAGGTTGTATGTAAATATGCTTGTTATTATTTAATTCACTGTAGAGATATGCCGACTTGACATCAATTTGATGTATCTCATAGTCTTTAGAAGCTGCCTAGCTTAATAGTAATTGTACTGTTATTAATTTTGTTACTAGGGCAAATAGATCATCTGAATAGAAGTCTATTCTGTCTTTCTGAGTGTAACCTTGCACTACTAATTGTGCTTTGTATTTGTCTATTTCACTGTTAGCTAGTTGCTTTATTTTGTAGACAAATTGTGTTCTGATAATATTAGTATCTGTAAGTGGATATGTGTAATCCTATGTATTATGATTCTTTAAGGATGTAATTTTGTTGTTCATAGCTTTGATCTACTAGTCTTTATCTTTTCTTGTGATAGTGTTGTAATACATTAATGAATTGCTATATATTTTATTAATTAATTTGTTAAATTCTGTAAGATAAATTGTAAGGTTTAATGTTTTGTTATAGTTTAATCCTCTTACTCTTTTAGTTATTTGTCATTGTTACATAGACTTACATTACCTGAGGGACATACTGTAAGGGGCCTAATTAGAGGGTGTACAAGACCCTTGTAGTCCCTCTAATTAGGTACCTTTTAAGCTTTTCTCCCTAACTGTACTTAATACTAGACTTAAATAGTAAAAAAAATTCTAAGTCAAAATAAAATAAAATAAAATAAGTATGCTGAGTGCCCTATATGGCAACTGTGCCCTCCCCACCTGCCACACCTTGAGCTCACTGTCTCATACAGTGAGCACACACTTTTCTCTGTATCTTACTCAATTCTTAACCAAATTTCTTTATTATTCCTTTAAAATTAATGTAAATTTAGTTGGAACTCATTCATAACACAAATACAATGTTAAATGTATCAATTACTTGTGTATTTGTGTACTATTTGATAATAAAAAATACAACAAGTTTCCTCTGACTAAGATTATGATACTCTAAACTCTTAATACTGTAATAATAGTAGAGNTTATATATCTACAGTATATCCAAGAATTGAGTCT